TATTATTCATTTGGGAAATAAAAATTTAAACCACAGTCAATTCCACTCGAACACAAATACATTTTAAATGAAAACAAGTCCATCCTATGCTTAAAGATTTGCTTATATCCATTCTTGTGGAGGCTTATCCCTGTCATACTATTTACATACATAACACATACTTGTGTGAGCATTTATGTAATGTTTTTGTATGTTCTGTGCATCTACCTGCCTACACAGAGAAAATATTTTCTATTTAACAGAAATATGTGATGTACACTGCTGAAAAAAATTTTTTTGTGTAGTCTCACAAAACTCATATGCTGACTGACATATAATTAATCCATAAAATTTCTGAAATTGTTTTTAAACTCCAATGTACACTGGTTTTTTTGGTATTTTAGCTGAGTTATGAAAAACTTTACAAATCTTTTTTAGTTACCTGAGTATTACCTTAACAAGGCCCATAAGTCTTATTATGAATTGTTTTATACCTCTGTATCTGGGAACATTTCCTAATTTTGTTGTGTTTTTCTGAGGGAAGGGTATAAGTTATTAAAATATTATTTGAATCTTATCCAGTGGGAATTTTTCTATTTACTAACTGAGTCCAGCCTATTAATATTAATGTTAATTAATGTATATTTTACATAACTAAAGCCTTGAAATTGGCTTAATGTTTATATAATTTCCATTGCATTTAATTTGCATATTCTCTGCATGTTTAAAATGAAAAGAAATATAAAGCTGCTTAATTGAGTTACACATTTACCTTCCATTGGCAGAATTTAAGGATTTTGATAATGCCTGCTATACTATGTTTTATATACCATTGAACAATTTCCAACTCAAATTTTAAGAGAAAGTCCAGTATGGTGTTTCATGCCTAAAATTTCAGAGCTTTCGTGGTACTTGAGGATGAAGGATCCTGAGTTTGATGACAGCCTGGACGACCAACAATCTCAGCAATCCTCTTTCTGAAGTGAATGATTAAATACAATAAAATTACAAGGAACTGAAATTACAATTATTTTCCTTAGGAACCTTTATATCAATTATATTAAATTAAGTATTTGAAGATTTTAGATAAACTAATCAGTTTGAGGGACTATTCTCAATATTTAGAGATGTTATCAAATGCTAAATTAACAAGTGATTTTTATTTCCTAATAGAGTTTATATTAATTTACATCAAATTAAACAATAAAGTTTATAGTACAATTTATCACTTCTTACTCCAAAATCAGACATACTGCTTGCCCAGAGTTGATTTTCCCATTCTTTATGTTATTTGTAGATGGTACACTTCTGATTAATGATGATGCTTCAGGAGTTGCAATTCCCTTTAGCTATGATAAATGTTCAAGGTATACTTAGAATTCTCAGTAAAAGGTAGACTTTTAAGCCCAAAGCCTTAAAAGGTTGCCAGCTAAAGTTCTGAAGTCAGTTGCTATGGTGACTCTTTTAATTGTTTCTTCCTATTCTTCCAGATCTAATTAGAACATCAAAGTTTATAGCATATGTAGGATAAGAGCACTCATAATTCCCTCAGCAGGTTCTGGCTGCTCTGTAATTAAAACATAACATTTATGACCAGCAGACTGGGAATACATTAGAATGTTTAAACTGTAAAATAGAAGAAAGAAGCCTATGGAAAAAAAAAATACCGTTTCTGTAATTAGAACCAGGTCAAATATGGCTCCTTTGAAGGATCATTTTAACTTTTTGTGGACCCTTTATACTAAGGAGTTGAAAACATTTTCCTCTTTTTTATGCAGTCTCTGGAATAAATTTAACTTCTATGTTCTGACATGCACGGGCCCAATAAAAAAAATTCAAGACATTTAGTAATATGATCACCATAGAACATGTTCTGAAAAGCAAGCACAGAATATCCTGCCTATAATGTCAGCACTTGGGAGGTGAAGGAAGGCAGATCACAAGTTCAAAGCCAGTCTCAGTTGCATAGTGACTTTGAGGACGGTTTGGCTCCATGAAATTGTCTCTCAAGAGAGCAAATAGGTCTAATGCAGGTAATCTCTGCTGAGTGTGGAAAGGAGGGAGGGAGGGAGGGAAGGAGGGAGGGAGGGAGGGAGGGAGGGAGAACGAGAGAGGTGCGGGAGAAGAGAGGAGAATATAGGAGAAGAAAAGGGGGAGAGGAAAGAAATGAGACCCTTTAGAAAGGATTACCCCCTCATGGCTGCTTCATAAAAAAAAATGTTCAAGAGAGAAAGTTTTCAATATATGTCTCATAGTACATTACTGAATTTTATAAGTACCACTATCCTAAAATATCAATAATATTATAGCATAAATGCCATTAGGAAAAGTTTACTTGGTAGTAATTGATGTTATAGGCACTGAAAAATATATTAAATTATAACTTTTAAAATAACAAAGGCTACATTACAAGTGATTTTCAAAAACATATCTGTATTATTTAAATCATAACTTGAAATTAGCGTGTTATTCAAATGAAAATGCCACTAAAGCAACATTGTAATTGTTGGATGCAAAATTTTAACTGAAATTTAGCAGAAATTATTCAAAGGTAAATATAAATACTAATAGTTATATATTAGTAAATATAGCATTTTATAATTACCTAGATTTTTCACTTGGTTTATACACATTTAAATTTATTTTTTACATGTTCAAGTAACAAATATTTGTGTCATAAACAAAACTTCTATATTAAGAACTATTGTTCTGAAAAAGCCTGGGTTAAAACCGGTCTCGCTGAACATAGCGGACAGTGAGGACTACTGAGAACTCAAGAACAATGGCAATGGGTTTTTGATCCTACTGCACCTATTGGCTTTGTGGGAGCCTAGGCAGCTTGGATGCTCACCTTACTAGACCTGGATGGAGGTGGGTGGTCCTTGGACTTCCCACAGGGCAGGGANAGTGGGGAAGAGACAGAAATCGTTAATAAAATAAATAAATAAATAAATAAATAAGAACTATTTTATACCTATATGTATGAATTGCAAAGTGTATATACATGTTTATGTGGATTTTTACACATGTACAACAGTTGCCTACACATGTGTACAAGAATAAAGAGGCTGAAAGTCAATAACAGTTCACCATATTTTTTTAATAAAAGGTTTTTCATCGAACCTGGGGTTTACTTTCAGGTTAGGCTGGCTGACCAATGAGCTACAAGGATCCATTTGCCCCATCCTCTGGTGGTATGTTACCACACCCGTACTATTTTCCAGGATTTTATGCTGGGATCCAAACTCAGGTCCTTATATTTGCATGGCACATACTCTATATATCAGGCAATATTTCATATCAGTAACTTCTCTGAAAGAATCAGTTTTTAATATAATGATTTCATAGCTTGAGCAGAGCAATGAGTCATAAATCAAAGTACTCAGGTACCGGGACCTGATGGGAGAGAGTCTTCTGTTTTGTGTTAATTTCATTGATTAAATAAAGAGACTGACTCGGCCCTTTAATAGGACAGAAAATTAGGTAGGTGGAGTAGACCAAAGAGAATACTGGGATAAAGAAGCCGAGTCAGTCAATCGCTATGATTCTCCCACTCCAGACAGACGCAGGTTAAGATCTTCCCTGGTAAACCACCTCATGGACGACACAGATTATTAGAAATGGGTTAGATCAATATGTAAGAGCCATCTGATAAGAGGTTATAACTAATGGGCCAGGCAGTGTTTAAAAGAATACAGTTTCTGTGTAATTATTTCGGGTATAAAGCTAGCCGGGTGGTGGGACGCATCCCTCTGCTGCGCTCCTCACAACAAGGACCAACTTAGTACCATTTGTATTTATTATGATGAAACATAAACCAGTCTTGTTGGTAGCTTCACTTATAATAATCACTAATAATATTTGTCCCGCTGTCTTCTAAGGATTAAATAAAGATCAGATGGAAATGAGTAAATAAAAGCTTTAAATTAAATGTTCTATGCAAGTATCAGTTCTGATACTAACATTGTTATTGAAAGTACAGATTTGGTTTCAAGATGCAGATAATACCTAACTATAACATTCTAGCTCAGAACTGGTAACAGTAGAATGACCTTCATTTTGACAATCTGTATTCACCTCATTTACAATGAAACAACGCAGCCTTGGCTTATGCCACACAATGTTACAGGATTACCTGAATGAGCACATATGGCCCATTTAGCTAAGGACTTTTTAATAGGTACTGTCTAGTATGAGGTGAACCGAAAGAATAGCTCTACAGTGTCAGTCTCTATCTATGACATTGGAATACTTTGCCATTTTAATACATTTTCATAGCATTATTTTGTTTTATTTATTGACACATCACATCTTATTTATGTAAATAGATGTCAGCCTTTTAAAATCAAAGTGCACATACTTACCAATCTATATAAATTGATTTTGATGGGAGTTTGGTCTGTTTTCCAAATACATTGTTTCATGTGGTAAATAACTGATGTGGGAGTGATTTCTTATTAATAAAGAAACTGCCTAGGCCCCTTGATAGGCCAACCCATAGGTGGGTGGAGTAAACAGAAGAGAATACTGGGAGAAAGAAGCTGAATCAGAGTGTCGCCATGGTTCTCCCACTCCAGACAGACGCAGGTTAAGATCCTCCCTGGTAAGCCACCTCATGGGCTACACAGAATATTAGAAATTGGTTAGAACAATATGTAAGAGCTAGCCAATAAGAGGTTACAGATAACGGACCAGGCAGTGTTTAAAAAAATACAGTTTCCATGTAATTATTTTGGGGCATAACCTAGCCATGTGGGCGGCCGGGTGCCGGGGACGCAGCCTCGCCACTCGTATTGCAACAAATAACTGTTCCCCCACCTACTTTCCAATTTAACTCCAATTGTTTATACCTTTGTGCAAAAAAAAAAAAATGCCATTCATCAGTTTTCCATAAATTGTGTTCAAAGTTAAGTACTTAGAAATAGTTAAATCACTATGGCTGCACCTGCCACTAAGATCAACTAAAATTTGGGTTTCAATGACGAGCAGCAAGTGGGAACCTGAGAAACAATTTCACTTACCACAGATGAACATAGTCTCATCTGAGTTATCTGCACAGTCATTCACAAAGTCACACAGCCTGTCCTTTAGAATGCAGTGCTTGGAAGCACACGTGAATTCGTCAGCAGCACACTTTCTGTTTGTGTTAAGTAATGGGGAGCAATCTCGGAAGGAAACATCATCGACTGCCACATCTCCTATGTAACTGATACCACGTTTTGCCCTAAAGACAATCTAAAAAGAAAAAAAAAATGAACAAGAGGAGCCAATTAGCATTAGGCTGTCAAGAAGTCCAGAACACAAACAAACATGGCAACAAGAACATCTAGATTGACTTTCATAACAAATACACCCAATTGAAAGAGACTTCTATAAAGATAATGGCTCAGAAAGACTGAACATCATGAGAGTCTGTACTATATTCAATTCTGGGAATATGAGAAAAGCAACACTACCACCCAAGAGATGGAGAGTTAGCATAGAGACTATAGACTCCAGGCAGAAGTCATGCACCCACTTCTACTCCCTGTGCTGACGCTCAAATTCAAAACAAGACTGCTTACTTCTTAGACACACACAGAGAGAGAGAGAGAGAGAGAGAGAGAGAGAGAGAGAGAGAGAGAGAGAGAGAGAGAGAGAGAGAGAGAGAGAGAACCCAGTTACTCTGTCAGACTTTTGCCAAACAAAATAAATTTAGTTCTTCAAGAGAGAGGATAGCGATCCTAAATCGGTGAATTGCTTGCCTCTAGAACCATCAGTGTGCCGCCGAACCTGAAGCCTGCTCAAGGATGGCCAGGCTGTGGCTTTAACCCATTTGAGATTAACAGCTGATTCTGCTTTACTCCTTTACTTAACAAAGGGGGAATCCATTTTGACAGTTTAGGATTGCTTGCCCCAAAGCCTACAGGGGACTGTGGTCCAGGCCCCCCAATCCAGGCCTGTTGACCCGACACATTTCTGTCCTTACTCCTTGCCCCAAATATTTATTAACAATCGCGCTGGACTTGAAAGACCAAGTTCAAGATTACTCTTCTACTTACAGCTATGGACCCTGAACAAAACCTTGCCTCTTTAAGTCACAGCTTCTGCTTCTGTAACACGATGATGCCTTTTCAAGAGCAGCTATAGGGTCCACTGAGAACTTGAGCATCTAATTTTCTGTTCCTTTGGCCTTAATGAAGTGCCTAACTCCCATGGCAGCCCTGTTCTCACTTCTGTAACCTTACTTCTGTAACCAGAGTTGGTAACTTTAACAGCAGAGGGTGGAACTGAACCTGCACCTGATCCCTGAATGCTCCTGGCATGAATGAAAACTAGTGTTCCAAACAGGATGAGGTTTCCCCAGAAACTGAAAAGCAAAGCTGCACTTGAATGAGCAATCCTTCCTCTGGGTATGGAACAGCACAGACTCCTGCAGACTTATTTGCATGTCCCTCTTGATTACGTCACTGTCCACCATAACCTAGATGTGGAAACTATCTGTGCACATTGACAAATGAGTGGATAAAAACATCTGTGTGTGTGTGTGTGTGTGTGCATAAACATGGCTATTTGTCTTATAGTATGTGTAATGTGCTACTACTCTGGTGCAAAAAAGAGTTCGATATGTATCAACTTATATGAATTTGGATATTGTTATGTTAAGTCAAATAATGCATAGAAAAAGCAAAAAAAAAACAACAAAAAAGAAAATCCAGTTACTTTTGTGTATCTACTTTTGTGTATCTATAGACTGAAGATGTACCCATTATATTTTTCATAGGATTGAACTGCTGAAAAGGATAAATGAGAAGATATTTTAAATATGTGGCAAAGTCCTCAGTACACACATACACACTGAGGTGTGTGGATGTCTATGTGGGTTTCTGTGTCTGTGTATGATGGCCCTGGTTATCAAAACAAAACTTGTGTTTAAATATAGGGTTTTCTCAAGTAAGACTATGCAGACTTCTCAGTGCTGTCTCACAGTGTAAGTCATGAGATAAAATTTCTAATCTTTCTGAGTCTAAAGAGAAAAGAATCATAAGAATGAAGAATCACAAGCAATATGTATGCTTATCACTGTATATTCTCAATGTATTTTTGCACAGCAGATAGTCAATACCTTGATATTGAGGGGATGGATAAGTCATAAGAAAAAGCAAGTGTTTACATGTTATTCATACTTTTAAGAGTCTTTCAATATGAACAGACTTTTTAGACAGATTTCAATATGTGTATTTTTGAATCTTAAAAAGCAAAATTCATAAGTGTGTCCACATGCTGAAATATCACTTAATACAATTTTGAAAATAATTTCTCCATATTAATATTCAGTATGCATAGAACTGTTAAGGAATTTGCTACATGATCTGGAAATCTATGTCTGACAGAAGCAAATCCATTTAAATATTCTCACTGAGATTTTTTTTGTCTACATTTAGTGTCCATAGAAGTTGAATATCTAGCCTCCTTCTAATGATGTCTTATAATATACAAAGTCATTAATTATTCTCGAACAATTATTTCTTCAGGTTGAACATTTTACCCACATACTACACTATCTCTGAGTGCATAATAAGGAAACTAGATACTCAAATATAGGGCAAGAAATATATGGCATTTTTTTCTGCATGGCATTTCTGGAAACTGGGACACTGTAGTTCAAGCCCTTATACATATATATCATGTAGATCTCCCATTGCTGAAAGACGCTGATGTATCAGAAAAAAAGAGCCATAGAGATATCTGCTGCATATTCACAACCAGCAAGCTTACTTGTGCATACAAACAAGAGAACAAATGGAATTTTTAATTATGATCTTATTACTTGAGTATTTTCAAATTCATGAAATTCAACTCCACATAAAAATTAAAACTAAGAAGAAAACAGTCTCCTACATATGGTATGAGCATCTTGCTCTATTTATTTTAAAGGCCATTGTTTGGTTTGCTCTTCTAATATGTGATATAGTTTTATCTGTAAAAGCTGTCCTTCACATGAGAAACAGTGGGAAGAGACAAAGTAGGAGGAACTCGATTTACAGTTGGGAAAGAAAACTTAGAAATGCTATAACAAATACGTCAGTGTAGTGTAATCCTGGGAACTAAAGATTAAATACCCATGCTTTCAGTAATGAGCTGAGGTGTGTGAAGTCAAGCATGGAAGAGCCAGATGATGTTAGGCAAGGGATTTTAAGGAAAATCAGGGGCACGCCATTCTACCCTGTTCTTGGGTCTTAATACACACTGATTTGTAGGAACTTAGAAAAGGCAGATGAATATTTTATTTTTAACTTTACTGTTTTTTTATGTAACTGTTTGTTTACAGTCTCTAAAAGAAAGTCAGCCATACTTAACTGTGACTATTTTTGGAAATGTAAATATAATGTTATTTTACCTCGTTATAAACTGATAATTATCAATTTCTCTGGTTTGTTTATTTAACTAAGTACCTATCTGCATGAAAATGGCATAAAAGTAAATTTAAGAGTGATTTTATTGCCTGTCATTACCTTTTTTTAATGAATGGACTTTGAAATTGAAGTACAATATCCTAAAAATATGTTTTCAGAAGATCTCATTTATTTTCCCTTCCCAGGGTAATCTGCATGTCTCTGTTAGGGTCTTCTTTGTTACCTACCTTCTCTGGAGCTGTGGATTGTGGTCTGGCTATCCTTTGCTTTACATCTAGTATTTTGAAGTGATGGGGGTTGGGTTAGGGGATTAGGGTTGAGGGTGTTGGTCCTGCCTCAACTTAATGTGCCAGACCTTGTTGGCTCCCCTTGGGAAGCCTTACCCTTTCTGAGGAGAGGATGGGGGTGGGTTGGAGGGAGGGCGGGAATGAGAAGATGGGAAGAAGGGAGAACTCTGGCTGTATGTAAAATGAATAAAAAATAAATATGTACAAATAAAAATTATATATTATTTTATTTCAAAAAATAAAAAAATACTCAATCCTCATCTAAACTACAGATATCTCGATTCTTATTAAGTCCCTCAAAATGGAAAAAAAATACCAAATATCTTATCACTTTGTGATATTCATTTTTAAAATTGTAATATTCATACTACTTTAAATTTTCTTTGGTTGTTCGGTATGTGCTATTTTATACATAATAAAATAAAGACATACACACCATCATATACTCCAACACATTTTAATTATATAAATCTATTCAGTATAAGAAGCTCAATCATTAAAAAAAATTCATAGATGACTTTTGCAGCTACATTTACAAAACCTGTATTACAATGTCTGAGAGTCAAATCTCAGAAATGGAGGATGTGGTCTTTCAATGTGAGAAGCTCGCTGGGAGTAAAGGACTTTTATCACTCACGTTATGTGTACCTAGAAGTGTCTAATTGGGAAAAGTTATGGCTTTCTAAAATGGTAAGTTATGGACGGAAAATGCCATATGGAATGTTACATGTACTGTATTCACACAACACATCAAATTGGGAATGAAAAGAGATGAGGATAATAAGAGAAAGAGAGAGAGAGAGAGAGAGAGAGAGAGAGAGAGAGAGAGAGAGAGAGAGAGGGGGAGGGAGGGAGGGGGGGAGGGAGAGGGAGAGAGAGGGGAGAATGGATGAATAAATAAATAAATAAATAAATAAATAAATAAATAAATAAATAAATAAATAAATAAATTAGTATTCAAGACAAAAATTAACTAAGTTCTCTCTTCAAAAATCACATGGGTTACAAACCTCTGCATGTGAGTGGGTGCCCAAGAACACTTCCACTTTCTTCCACCGTGGCCCTTGCTGTCCACTCTGAGCCCACACTTTGGAGATAACATTGCCTTTTTTGATGAGCACCTGCAGAGATTAATCAAGTAATAGGTTTTTAAATATTTAAACTTTAGACATGTTGGATTTAGGCTTTTAATTCCTACATGTAGTCCCTGAGAGAAAATCTAAGGCATTTTTCCTTAGATACTTTTGTTTTCTACTGTGATCAGATAGCACCATGCCCCAGGGGCATCTCACAAGCTCTGTGGGATGATGTTCTAAAGGTGTGCATATCTGTCAATCAAGCTAAGGTGTCCAGGCACCATTTCATTAGGAATTCAACTCTACTAGCTTTATGAAAAATGTGGCAGCAGCAGCAGCTGATATTTTATATATTAAGTAATATACAGATGATTGAAAGGAAAAGTATTAAATTACTTAGTAGAACATTCTTTTGAGAATAGCTTCTCTGGCCAATTGCTTTTAGCAGACAAGTGTGTCATAATAAGTGCCCATCACAACAGCGTAGATGAGTGATATGTGCAAACACTAACCACACCGTATAAGCTCCCTGCCTGAAGGTCTTGAAATAAACAAAGGCATATTTTACTTGCTATTGTTTGTCCTTTACTGTCTCCTAAAGGTCCATGGGAAATGGGTTGGTTTATAAGTGGTATTGGGAAGGAGTGAAATTCTTGAGGGTAATCCTAGCAGGACCTTCTAAGCCCCTGAGTTTGTGGCGTCCCACACAATAAGATAGAAATCATTAGGAGCAGTTGCACAATTCCTCTGTTAAAATAACTAAGATACTTCATTTTATATCATTATTTTTTAAATTTTATTTATGTAACTGAACATATATTTAGATTGAATTTATGAAGCTTCTATCTTTTAAAAAATAAATAGGCTTTTGAGGTGATTAAAAAGGAAAAAGTGCTCGTCCCACAAGAATTACAACAACATTTCCATTACCACTGTCCAGAGTAGAGAGAGCCACATCCTGAAAGTTGTTCTTTGATGTCCACTCACATACTCTTGCACTCACACACCATACACACAAAGATAATATTACATAAAAGTATAATTTAAATTAACATTTAAAGGTGTTGTGCTTTTAAGTTTAAATTCACATAAATTTATTTTACACAACAAGAACTATCAGAGCAAAATAGTACTAGAAAAAATAGTATGAAATTCTTGGTCTGTGAATATCTAATTCAACACAGTAAAATCAAGAAGCATAATTATAAATAAAGAATCCATTTCTGGAGCATGTTAGAAGAATGCACAGGAAGAAGCCCTTTGTATGAGAGCCACATGTTTCACGGGATTAGCAACAAGGGAAATTATGTAAGGTGATATACTAATAACAAAATAGTTAATGCACATATATGAGGAACATGTGTAATACCATTTGTTATTTATTAATTAATGCCACAGAATATAATAAGTTGATAATGCCCATGCTACTAATGAAAGCAATAAGTAAAATTTTTGACTAAAAGAAATTTTGTGTGTCTGTGTGTGTACATGTGAGTATTCATGCCGTGGAGTCTGTATTTCTTCTCCACCTTTGTTTGTCTGATTTTTATTTGAGACAGAGTTTCTTACTGAACCCCAAGTTTATAGATTTAACTGGATTTACTTGTCAACCCCAAAGCTAGTGTTATAGGATAATTGCTTTGGGCTTTCTACATGACCTCTAGGTGTCTGAAGTCAATTCCTTCTGCTTCCATGGTATAAATTTTGTCCGCTGAGTGTTGACACAGCCCCAAAAAGGAGTTTTAGTACTAGTGTCAAATAAATGTAAATCACAACTTCAAAAGATTGTTTAGGCTGTTTAGGCAGTTTTAGAATATTAAACAAATGCATTACTAAATGAATGCACAGAAATACACTATCAAACAACATCGGTTAGAAGACCAATCTGAAATAAAAAGGTGAGTCTTACAAAGATAAGATTGTAATTTTTCATTATAAAAACTCTTAAGAAGAGCACTTTTAAAGTAAGATATGCTTTTTTTTTAGAGCCTAATGTATTTTTTATTAGCAGCAGATAGAAGGCATTATATTCTCTCTCTGTCCAGGAGTGATGGTTCTTGCTGAACAAGCTAGGACTGCTCACTCCTGGCAGTCAGGGATCCCAGGGCAGGCTGCTCACTGAAAAAATGGCTGCTCTGCTTGTGGGCTCTTACACAGCATGGTGCATCCGTATTTGCAGCATTTCTTGTTGCCAGCACAATCACTGTCCCTGGAACATGAATCTTCCACCAGACATGGGCCAGTGGGGATCAGGTTGACTGGATTCCAGGGGCAGTGGCCAGCCTTTGGAGCAGTAAGATATGCTTATACAACTTTTAGGGGGAAAGTTTAATATTTTCTAGGCAAATTCTAGAACCAAAAGTGTGAGACAACAATACTCAGAACAAATATAAAATGAAATAATTCAATGACTATTGGAAAAAAAGTTATCATGTATTTAGTACTAGTATAAAATAGTAAGTTGAGAAAAAGGGACTTGACATGTTCTGATTTAAAACAGAAAAAGAAACTAGAAATGTAGATAAGTAATGGAGTTAAATCATCCTCAGGCAGTCAGAGTATCATTAATTGAGGCAAAAATAAAAACTACTAGAAGCAAAGACTGGCGAATAAAATTGAGTCAGATTTAGACTTTGCAATACCTTGAGTATCAAAACAAAAATATTCTTTAATAAAAAGTAGATAAAAGAAACAAAGCCCATAATGATAAACTAACAACCACAATGGTATAACATGGTGTGAGACAAAACCACATCAAAATATAAACATAGCAAATTCAACCTGAGGGCATTTTGATAAATGGTTTGACTGCAGTCTTGTAAAACAACAAGGTCCTCGAAGTGGTTTGGAAGGTCCTTCTGTTTATGTGTTGCTTTTATTGGTTATTTCATAAAGAACTAACTTGGCCTATAGCATGGGAGGAGGAAGGCCGGGTTAAGTTGGAAGCCATAGATCTGCCATCTGAGACAGATGCTGGAAACTTTAGTTGGTAAGCCACAGCCACATGGCAATACAGAGATTAATAGATATGGGTTAAATTAATATGTAAGAGTTAGCCAATAAGAAGCTAGAGCTAAAAGGCCAAGCAGTGATTTAATTAATACTGTTTCCCTGTGATTATTTTGGTTCTAAGCTAGCTGGGCAGCCTGGAACATACAAGCGGCTCCCTTCTCCAACACAGAAATCTACAGAAGATACGGAAGTATTCATGTGAAAGGTAGTAGAGAATGGTGACAATTGTGTGTTTGGCATTTTGTTGAGGGAGAGGTAGGAAAGACAAAAAAGCAAAGAGTCTTGTTTTGTTCATTTTAGGCACTACAAGCATAGAGGCAGATTTGAAAGACTGGGAAATGAGTGGAGTTGGGGTGCATGGTGCAAAATTCTCAAATATTGATAAAAATGTGTTACTACAAAAAAAAAAAGAAATATTATATTTCCTTCTAAGTTTCCATATGAATTTGCACTATCTTTCCAGAAGCTAATCATGAGCCTTATTCTGGTATGAAAAGTAATAAATAAATATTAATGTCATGTTTTTCTAAATTTGTATTTAGGAAATCATGTTTCCTGAAAAAAAAATCAACTCAGGCACAGATACATAAAGTTTTCTCTGAATGGAAGTTTGATAATTCAGAGTAGGTGAATAAGCCTTTGTAAGTGAAGGTCACACAACCATTCTGTACATAGCTCCAACTCCTTCTCAGTAAGCATTGTGATCACAAGTTCATCCCTACTGCATGTGTGTCTGATAGGCTGGATGACCACAAGCAAATGATGCATCATGTCTTTGGCTTGTGTTAATGCTTTCTATGAACATTACTAAGTAATAAAAATAATACTTAAAAAAGACTTTTTGTAAGAGATGCAGTGTTCAATTAACAAAAATAAGGTCTCTAACTGACGGGCATAATGAAGTTAGTTGTAAATAAAAATTGTGAAAGGTTTACTGAGCTTAATACGTTAGGTATTTTCTCTTAAAGAAACAAGTTGCGGGCTGGAGAGATGGCTCAGAGGTTAAGAGTACTGCCTGCTCTTCCAGAGGTCCTGAGTTCAATTCCCAGCAACCACATGGTGGCTCACAACCATCTGTAATGGGGTCTGGTGCCCTCTTCTGGCCTGCAGGCATACACACAGACAGAATATTGTATACATAATAAATAAATGTTTAAAAAAAAAGAAACAAGTTGAAAGAAACCTATTGAAAAGTGCAGCATTGCTACAAACTCATACAAGACCCCAGATTATAACACCGCCAAACCACACATAGCATACCACTTAATTATGTCATACTCTCAACATTGACGCTGAAATCACCATGGGATGCTCCAGTATATATAATACCTTACAAGAGCCTCAACCTCAGGAAAGAAAATAGTCAAACGCTGCAGAAAAAGGAAATCCCATTTCACCCACAAGTGTCCAGTTCTGGAAGAGCTTTTTCTATAGCATAGCACTACAATGCTAATGAAATTTAAACTTGTTTTAAAGACAATATAAATTATGATGCAAGCATTTTTATAAAGAAATTTCCAAAAACAATATTGACTATACAGTACCTGGAGAGAACCTACTGTGGCACCATTCATATACGTCCAGAACACCAAAGTACACCTTGGTCCCATGAGAGAGATGACAGGAGTGAGGATGTCAGCCAGGTCACCAAACTTCCCATTTGAACTGTCAGCATACAGGTACCAACCATCTGTGGTATTTCTAGGAAAATGTTCATCATATACAGAAAGAAAAAATTCGTAAAATATAACATACTTTGACAATGTCCATATTTTATAGTTACATAATTATTTTCTATTAGTATAATGTTTTATGACAGAGTTAAGTTCTATAACCTTCACCTGGAATAGTCCTCTGTTCACATTCTGAATTCATGGGTTTTGTATTATCTATTGATACATGAATATGAATTATTGTGAACACCAAACTGACCAATTCTTTAATAGTAAGATTGGTTTCATTTTTATATAATGATATAACAAATATTCTAATCTGTTTTTAGAAAGTATCTTCAGTTGGGTAAGATGTAGCCCTAAAACAATGAGGGCAATGAAGGGAGGAACAAAACAAGAACACACAAATACACAGACCATGGATAGCAGCAAAGCTGGCCTGGAGCACAACTCACAGGTCTGGAAAGCTTTGGGTTCAAACTAATCCCCTCTTTATATGGTTAAGTTTCATGTCCACATATTTAGTAACCTTTATTTACTACTTTAAAAAAAAATAATAGTATTTATTAAAACAAGGTTAATGATTTATTAACCTTATTTCATAACCTTATATAAATAACCATATTTAATAGCCTTATATGTTTTTTCTTTCACATATCCAAGTGTAAAAGAAATGGTAGCAATAATTATATAACAATGTTCTTTTCTCATAAAAGATAAAGTCTATGGTCTTATCTTTAAAAATTCAATAAAGAGATATAAAAATACAAAAGACAGTGGTTTGAAGCAAAATGTAAAGATTCTTTATATTTTGAAGACAAATTCTCTTTTAAAAGTATTTATTTACTTGTTCCATCCAACCTTCTATATTGATAATATAGAAATTAAGCTTACTGTTTATTAAAACCATTTTCATAGTGAGTTTTTATCATCTTTTGTTTTAGAAAAGAAGGACTAACAGGGGATAGATGAAGAGGAAGACAGATTTATTGACTCAGTTCACATATTCACCGAGTGTTCAATCTTTCCAGACATGCCAGTGGTTGTCCAAGGAATAGGAAATAGAATTGCCTGCAAAATACTTGACAAGGTTTGGCCTCTGGCCTCACCTTTCGCAAGGTACACAACTTTGAACAGGCTGTTTAACTTGTCTAAACATAGGCTCTGCGTTTTATACAATAGGGAACTCTCTTTGCAATCTTAATGAGAACTAGAAATCAATAAGCAGAATACCTCACAGTACCTTTCCCACTTAGATAGGTAGCATAGCAGCTGTAACCCATGTTTCTGTTTCTGTCAAGTTTCTGCTAATGAAGTAAGCAACTTTGTATTCTGTCTTCCAGGGGTGATAGGGTAAACATGATGTATTGAAGATATGGTCCATGAGGCACCTATGTTCAGAAGTAGAATTTCTGGGAGGCGATGGGATCCTGCAGGTTCTAGTCTCATCAGTGGAACAATTCAATTATGGATTACAGCTTACTGGACTGGTGATGGAACTTTGAGAAGTAGGGATGAGCTAAAGGAGAAATGCCACCAGGAGTATAGAATGGAGAGATATATTTTGTTGATGGCCTTGGGTCTCTGGCTTCCTGACTATAGTAGGATGAAGAAAACTTATCTACTGTGACCACTTATGTGTGTGCTCCCAGCCATGCTGCTCCCCTTTGTATACCATGAAGTCATTTTTACCATACATCACAATATAGTCTCTTCTTTAAATTGTTTATAACAGACACTCTGTTATAGTGACAGAAAGCTGACGGATACACAAAGTATGGATTAAGGCAGTTTTCAAGAGACAAGACTGTTATATGAATTTGTCTAAACTTTATTTCAGTGAAAAATATTTTCCGTATTAATCCTTATATGCTTAAAATCCCAATATATCATTACTACCAAGAATAGAGTGTGGTTATATACATTAAGTTAAACAAAAGAAGCAATGAAACAACCAAACAATATACCTTATGTTTTGCTACCCATGCTTATCAACAAATGGATTATATGTGACTTATTAAATATATAAACTTTTATTTAAATAGCTGTTTGGAATGGTTTAGCTTTATATAATTTGTCATAGAATAATCTAAAAGTTTCTCAATCTTCTGTGAAACTTAGTGTTACTATTAAGATAAGGCTTGAAATGACCAGTCTTCTTTAAGTTGTTGCTATTGCTCTAAGTCAGATTTTTGAGATTCTTTGCCCAGTGTAATATTCAGCGTAATTGGTTTACCTACTTCCATTATTGATATCCTCCACCTCGTCTTCAAATATCACCTAAAATCATCTTTCCTAAGTGTAAAATGGAATTGTTATTATGATTACAAACCTTTTTTAAAGGCAGTTAAATGTTTTCAAATGCCCAGCCTCTAAAGTTGGGGGTTATGCCTCCATAGAGGACCATATTACTCAACTCTGGTGGTGGGATATTGACAACAATAAAAAGGTTTGAATGTGTATTGACTAAAAATTAATTTTAAAAATCCTATTGGGTTTCTAGACAGTGATGCCTGATGTGATGACACGAGACCTTGGTTCTGAACATGCATGTGCCCTTTGCTGATCACAGCAATGGGAGGTCTGACAAAGACACTAACTATCACAAGTCTTTATCAACATACACATACAAACACACACACACACACACACACACACAGAGACAGACAGAGAGAGAGAGAGAGAGAGAGAGAGAGAGAGAGAGAGAGAGAGAGAGAGAGAACTACTTTAAGCTTTTCTTTCCACCCTTTATCCCTAAAGTCTCACTTTTATATTATAAGTGTGGTATAGTATTCAAGTTTAAAAGATCCATTGGTATTAAAAATTCCAACTCTTTAACAGTTCAAATTTTCTTATCTTCAAAAACAGGACAGAGAAAACATCTCCATTTTAAAATGGAAGAAGCAAGGCATTGCAAAGGATAATGATACCAAAGTAGAACCAGTAACTATCAGGAAGTGAAATTAGCAACAGGAAGTGCAACTATGACAGAAATTGTCACAGAAAAGGAAGGCAATTTTTGTGATAAACCCATCCATGTGACTTTTTGGGTTTTGAAACTTCTGTGTGGGAGGACTATAGAACACTTAGAACTTCAGGCTAAGAAATGCATTGTATGCTGTAATCAAAACTTGACTCCTCTAGTAAAAGCATGGAAGACAGTAATATTACAAAGAACACAGATAGACAAAAACATGGCCTGTTTTGTAGGATTTCAGAGGCAAGCAGAGAATAGTCCTTTATCTGGAACTGATATGGCTTCAGTCTACACTTGACTTTAGAATTGGAGTGATGGGGCTGGAGAGATGGCTCAGTGGTTAAGAGCATTGCCTGCTCTTCCAAAGGTCCTGAGTTCAATTCCCGGCAACCACATGGTGGCTCACAACCATCTGTAATAAGGTCTGGTGCCCTCTTCTGGCCTACAGGCATACACACAGACTACTGCATACATAACAAATAAATAAATATTAAAAAAATAATTGGAGTGATGTTGATTTAAAGACAATAAACTAAGTTGTTTAAGAAAATAAAATGTGAGTAAGCTTGAGTTTTCAGACAAGGAGAACACATACAAGTAAGTTAATATACTCTTAAATAGACTGGAACCATTCAAGAGAAACCTAAAGTGTCCAGCATCAGCACCAAGAAGTTGATACAGGTATGGTCTAAGAAGGCCAGGTTACATATATCTCCATCTGGCAGAATTTGATGGCACCATTTACATAGTTCTGATTTTGAAGGCATGAAAGATGAAAGACTGAGGGATATGGAGAGCTTTTGAGGGCATTTAGACTCTCTTCAGAGAGATCCTGAACAGCAACAGGGTAAAGCTTTGATGTTAAGTGCTAGGGAAGGACCCCAGCATATTGGAAATGTTAAGACCATGACACATTCTCACGGAGGCCATGGATATGAAATGGAGCTAGCCTATACCTAAATAGAAATCTGTGGGGTGTTGTTTTCAACTTGAAAGGATAGGGCTACTAAAGCCCTTCTGAGCTCAGCTGATACTATTACAAACCCCAAATATAGGACATGAAGCTATAGGATTTAGGGTTTTACCTGATAGTTACTGACTCCAGTTTGGTGTCATTACCCTTCAAAATGCCTTGGTTCTTCCATTTTGAAATGGGAATATTAAAAAAGAAAGAGAAAGAAAGTAAAGAAAGGAAGAAAGAAAGAAAGAAAGAGTAATTTTTTTCTGTCCTATTTTTTGAAGCTTATAGGAGGTCAAAGTTGAGAGAATTAAAACTTTAAAGTGTTGGAATTTTTAATGCCCATGGTTCCTTTAAAGTTGGGTGCTACACCACCCCTACCTTGCAAGATAAAAATGAGACTTTGGGAAAAGGGGTGGAAAGCTACAGCTTAAAGTGATCTCTCTCTCTGTGTCTCTCTGTTCTCTCTCTCCTTCTCTCTCGTGTGTGTGTATGTGTATATATGTTTATTGACAGAGGAAGAATTCTGCTGCTGGCTATTGTCTTAGTTAGAATTTGTATTGCTATAAGAAAACACAATGATCTAAAGCCACTTGGTGTGGAGGGCTGTTATTGAATCTTACAGTTCCATATCACAGCTGAGGGAAGTCATGGCACAAACTCAAATGGACAGGAACTTGAGGCAAGAGCTGATGCAGAGGCAATAGAGGAGAGGTGCCCCTAGCTTATTCTTCGCAACTTGTTGTGCCCATTTACTTATAGCACCTAAGATCACTGTGAACCCCGTACCCCCATCAATTATCATCCAAGAAAATGTCATAGCCTTGTCATGGTTAATCTAGTGAGGGGAAATTTCTCAATTGAGATTCCTGCTTTCAAAAATTACTCTGACTCATGTCACGTTGATATAAATAGCTACCAGAGTCAGTTTAAGTCATCAGTTTGACACCATCTCGAGAGTCTGAATGAGGAATCACCTAGATTAGGCTGAGCAGTAAGCCTGCCTGTGAGGGATTTTGTTGGGTTAATTGAAATGAGAGTTCCACCTTTAATGTGGGCAGTACTGCATCACAGGTTGGGTCCTGTATTGAAC